CTAGAAGAAGAAAAGAAACAGTAAAGAATAAGAAAGAGGAAAATGGAGGAAAGAAGAAATGAAAAGATTAAAAAAAAGAAAACTAAGGAAAGGAAAAAAGAAGATGGAAAGAATGAAGAGAAGGAAAGGAAAAAAGAAGATGGAAAGAATGAAGAGAAGGAAAGGAAAAAAGAAGATGGAAAGAATGAAGAGAAGGAAAGGAAAAAAGAAGATGGAAAGAATGAAGAGAAGGAAAGGAGTATAAAGAAGATGGAAAGAATGAAGAGAAGGAAAGGAAAAAAGAAGATGGAAAGAATGAAGAGAAGGAAAGGAAAAAAGAAGATGGAAAGAATGAAGAGAAGGAAAGGAGTATAAAGAAGAAAATAAAAGTGATGAAAAAAGGCAAAGAAAAGAACAAAGAGAAACTGCAAAGAAAGAATTGACAGAAAGATGAAATTAAAATATAAGAGTGGAAATAGGAAGAAATAAGAAAGAATACAAGAACAAAGTTCTGCCAAACATGGGAAGTAAAGGAATGAAAGCTATCAAAAAAAGAAAAATTGAAGAAATAAAAGTATGAATAAAAGAGCAAAAGAAACCGATTATATCGAGTGTTTTTTCTTGTATAAATCTGAGATGAGCGTTCTTGAAATGGCTGCCAGACGAGATTATTATTGGAACAGATTTGCTTGAAGAAGACAAAGTCCACAAAATATACTCAAAGGATATAAAGTGTGAATGAAGAATTTTTTGCGGACTATTTTCATAAGTTTTATTTTGGAATATTTGAATTTGCATTTAGTTGGTTTTTTAAAAATAGTTTGAATTAAAATAATAATTATTTCAAATTACAAGCAATTTTCTTTTTTCAGACTGAGAAATAAAAACAGCTCTTGAATTTTATGTCAAGAAATACAGTTTTGCTGTTTTTTATTAAATAAATATAATTAAATACAATATATAAGATATATAATAATTAATTATTCTACACAGTTGCATGAAAATTTAACTTAATTTTGAACATGTGAAAATTATTTATTTCTCCGTTGTGTACCATTAAATTAATTGAACATATATTAAAGCTTTGTTCATATGGCATCATTTCAAGCAAAGTATTTTTTTTTTAAATCAGTTCTTTAATGGGATAATGTTTTTCTTATTTTGTGGCTAGAGGAACAATATTAAAAATTGTACCCCCCCTCCACACACACACACACACACACACTTAAAAACATTTTTTTTGATCTAATGTTAAAATATAATAACTCATTTTTATTTGTATTCTATTAAAGTAAACCTGCATATTTCTAAGGTGAGCAATGAGCAAGGGAATAAGAGTTGGGAATTACTGATTAATTAAATTGTTTATTATAATTTTATCCAAATGAATTGTGACCTTGAAATGTAAACTTTAACTAGTTTAAGAACATAGAAGATTGAGTTTTCAAAAATTAGTCACTAATCTGTATTTTGTTATGATCTACGTTTCTATTCAAATCGTCATGTCCCGGTTTGTTGTTCAATATCATACACTCTAGAATTATTAGGGTGTTTTTCATTGTATTCAATAAAGTTGGAACTTTAAATTGAATCCTTTAGTCAATCCATGAATGTAGAGTGTTCTCATTTTCCTTTTCATGCAAAGAATATATTTCCTATCAGTGAATAGACATTTGAAAAGTTTAATCAACAAGGACATGTGTATGTTGGTCCAAGAATTTAGGGGGCTAAAGTATTGATTAAATCATCTGATTTCATGGCTGCTTTCAGTTCACTACTCCATTGTTGCATCATACCGAAAAAGTCCCATACTCTGGCTCAGTGGAAGAAATGGACAAGCAGTACAAAGGTGAGTAAGACTGCTGAATATTAACTAAGAAAACATGTTGCCTAAGTATGGAAATTGGAAAAAGAACAATCTACTCCCCATGGATTGAATAAAGGGTTCAGTTCAAAATTAAAAGAAGCTTTTACTGAATACAATGACAAACATCTGAAGAAATGGCCAAAGAATTGTGAATGTAGCGATCAAGTTGAACTTAGTCTTAATATCAAAGCCTATAATAATGATAATTCCTCATCTCAAACATTCTGACAAAAATAATTCATTTTTTTAAATTATCCAAAAAAATTTTAATTAGTCTAATTATTGTTCTTTATATATTTTGTTTGCATGAAAAGAACAATGAAAATTTATTTGGTAAGTTTTATTTTATTTTACTAAATAGTAATAGTTACAAGAATTAAATGAAATGTTTCAGAGAACTTTACTTCTTAATTGAGAGCAAAACATGGCATTTTCTCTGGTTTTTTCTTTGAAAAATTCTTAACTTCTAAATTTTGTTTTCATAAAATTGTAAATTTTCATGGGAAAATTTGAAGATAAAATTTTATTTAGCATTTTTTCAAATTTTAATTAGAATCAATTTAAATTTTGACAGCGATGTCTCACCTGGATTGTTAAAAATCTAATCCTGTCCAAGAAAAAGGAAATTCTAGAAGATCTATCATTTTCCATTATTTCTTTTATATTTTAGCAAACTACAGAAATTATTATAAATCAAATACTTTTATGGCCCATTTGATAAGGCAACATTAACTGGTCTCTAAAAATATAATCTTTTTTTTACGCATGGATGATGCCTTGCAATGAATTGACCAAACTGATAAGGCAGGATTCCTATCTGCATTTATTTTTACTTTCTTCTCTATTATATTATGAAAAATAGCAAAAAATGAAGAAGAACCTAAAAAAAAATAATAATGAAAATGTGTCAATAATAATCAATTATTATTTCGTGTTTGAAAGCCACACTCTTTACATGCATAGGAATTGGAGATGAACTTTTCATGCGGATGTTCAGTTAGAACTTCAAGGAGTATTTCACAAATTAAACTTACTAGTTGGAATTTTTTCATCTAATTTGATTTGGTAATTAACTAACACATTTGTTTGAAGTGACTGACATTCAATTGATTCCCTGCCTCTGTTGTCTGAAGAGACTGGAATCCAATTGATTCCATGCCTCTTTTGTCTGAAAGAACTGACATCCAATTGATTCCTTGCCTCATTTGTCTGAAGGGACTGGCATCCAATTGATTCCCTGCCTCTTTTGTCTGAAGGGACTGGCATCCAATTGATTCCCTGCCTCATTTGTCGGAAGGAACTGGCATCCAGTTGATTCCCTGCCTCTTTTGTCTGAAGGGACTGGCATCCAATTGATTCCCTGCCTCTTTTGTCTGAAGGGATTGGCATCCAATTGATTCCCTGCCTCTTTTGTCTGAAGGGACTGGCATCCAATTGATTCCCTGCCTCTTTTGTCTGAAGGGACTGGCATCCAATTGATTCCCTGCCTCTTTTGTCTGAAGGGACTGGTATCCAATTGATTCCCTGCCTCTTTTGTCTGAAGGGATTGGCATCCAATTGATTCCCTGCCTCTTTTGTCTGAAGGGACTGGCATCCAATTGATTCCCTGCCTCTTTTGTCTGAAGGGACTGGCATCCAATTGATTCCCTGCCTCTTTTGTCTGAAAGGACTGACATCCAATTGATTCCCTGCCTCTTTTGTCTGAAGGGACTGGCATCCAATTGATTCACTGCCTCTTTTGTCTGAAGGGACTGGCATCCAATTGATTCCCTGCCTCTTTTGTCTGAAGGGACTGGCATCCAATTGATTCACTGCCTCTTTTGTCTGAAGCTCCTGTCACTGGATCTAACCAATGCCTTTATCCACTGTGCCATATGTCCTCAAGGACACATGGCACACAGATCCAGTGACAGGACCCAAAGAGTGTGAGTTCAATACCTTGTTAAGGCAGTGGAGTATGTTCAGAGGGAAATTAACATAAGATAACTGATAACTGACATCCATTAAACATGGCATGTGGAACTAGAACAGTCTACACCAGTGAGCGAAATAAAGGGTTCAGTTCGACATTCCAATGACCTGAAGAAGGCTGGAGCATACAACGGCCGAAACGTTGTAATAAATATGCCAACAAAGATGAGGACAATAGTCCGAATAATGTAAATAATGTTCATAATACCTCATCTCAGAAATATAGACAGATACAGAAATTGTTTAATAATAAAATTGAATCTGTGATACAAAAAGAAATTATTTAATGAAAGATATTCTCCACTCTTCAACTGTGAATATTGGCAAAACTGGATTTGATTTTTTGATAATGTTATATAAGAATAAAATGCCACTGCCGACAGTTGAGTTTGAACATAGATCATCATTGAGCAAATACGGGGATCTCATGATTGAATTAACTAGACCATGTGACCATAGAGGATACGCATATATAGGAATGTAGTGTGACATCTAACGGATGCTTTTTCTACTCTATCCTCTATTACTATATGGACCACTATTCGCTACTCTATTCACTATACTATTTTTCTATTCAGATCACTATATGGTGGTTACTATTCAATCAAGTATTATCGAGCAAGTACTATTAGTGTGAGTGTTATTCAAAGGTGTCTGACACTAGTATTGTTCAACAGCGTATTATAGTTGTATCTGAAATTACAAAGTCTCTACTACAACGAGCATTGCAAAAATGTCATCACAAAAGGTAAAATGAGGTTGAACTATTTCTACTGTTTTTAGTGACTTTGAAGTGAATTTTCATATATTCATTTTTGATTAAACATTTCTTTTTCCAGTTCTTATTTTTGTATTTTGATTTTTTTGATATCTCTCAACATAATCTACAGATGATGTTTTTAAGTAAATTTAATTCTTTTAAGCAACATAGTCTTAAGGCAGAATCTTATGTATTTTCTTTGCCTCTTGCATCAGCTAAATTCAAAGCCAAATTATTGCTTCAGTGGCTGAGAGTTTCTGGAGGAAGAATTTTAATGTCTTCATCTTTTCCTAAAAGTGTGAACACTAAATGACTTCAGTCATTGATATTTCATGAGTGATTCTAAAATAGTGCCAAATTTCAATGACATTTGACACATTTGCCATTGTTCATCTCTTTGTTCTTCATAATGGAACTTTGATTTGAGAAATTATTCTGCCAAGCAGGAAGCCTCAGCCTCTGCAACAGAGAAATTGTTTAACTAACCAATTCGATCATGCAATCTGTTTGCATTGAAAGCTTTAAAAAGCAAACAATTCATAGACTTTATTTTAATAGAAAAATCTGTTTTGCTTTGACAAACCCACTGGAAGCCAGACATTATTGGATTTTGCTTTATTAAAGAAGGGAAAGAAGAGAAAGACATGTTCATCTATTTGTTTTCTTTGGAGCTGAGAGATAGACGAGATGGATGTTACACTTGATAGGTTAAAGTTGTCTGTATTGTTGAGAGGTGACTACTCTATTATTGGAATTATATATATATATATATATATATATATATATCCTGATGATTGTGTTTAAGCATGGCAGATTCTGTTGCCACTGGGTGTTGACATCAATGACAAATTTTATATTTACATATCCCTGATATTGATCATTTTAACCAATAAACATATCTTAAAACTACATTTTATATATATATATATATATATATATATATATATATATATATATATGAATAAACTGTTGCTGCTGACACTGGAGTTTGAACACAGATCACCAGAGAGCAAACACAGTCAATCCCATTTTGTATAATAAGATCATGGTATGGTTAAGGAAATGTATATATGGGAATTAGCGTGGCATCTAAGGGATCACTATATGGATTACTATTCGGATCACTCTACAGTGGTTACTATTCGAGCGAGTATTATTGAGCAAGTACTATTAGTGTGAGTGTTATTTGAGGGCGTCTGACATCAGTATTGTTCAACAGCATTACTATAGTTGTATCTGCTGTGATTACAAAGTCTCACCTACAATGAGCATTATGAAAGTGACAGCAAGTATTTGTTGACATTACAAAAGTGACAATGAGTGTTTGTTGACATCACAAATATATATATATAAGCAACAAAAAATCCACCACCAAATATTTTCATGAAATCATCAGATAGTGTTTGTCTAATTTTTATCGTAATTTTTCAATTTTCAAATAAGTTATATATCAGGATGAAACTTACGGATAAACTGTACAAAGTTCATCTGTCTTTTTTTCATATAATTTCATGTCTCTCGGTCATTATCAAAAACAGGATGTAGCCAACAAAATTTTGTCTACTATACTATCAAAATAAATATATATGTGAGAAGTTCTGTTGTATATGTGCATGCATATATATATATATATATATATATATATATATATATATATATATATATTTAATTTATTTATTTAAATGCTATTTTTAATGGATACTCATTTGAATGGATGTTTTGTTTTTATTATTAAACAGTTTATTGACTTATTTACAAGCCTGAATAACTGAGAAATATTTTTAGAAAAATATGCACCTTTTCACATATTTTTCTAAAAAGATTTCTTGAATATTCAGGATGATAGATGGAAATAAATTAATAAACAATTTAATAATAAAAATGAAGCATCTACTCAAATATGAGTATCCATTATAAAAAAATGTTTAAACAGATAAATTAAAGATATGTTGGATTTAATCCATTTCCAAAAAAAAATATATTTGCTGATATCTACATACCCAGGGACACTGATGTATGCACATGTGTAATCACATGCCTAGATATATAAAAATACTTGTTTGACCCTCACTCAAGGCATTTACTTTATTAGGAGAATCAAGTCACTTTCTCAAGCAGGTTTTGCAATTTTGAAGTTATACAGAAATTAAGAAGAAATAAAAAATTTCAAAGAAATAGATATTTGATGACCTATTCGGAAATTTCTTAATTTCATATCTTGCAAGCTGTAAATTAAATGAAATTGAATAAATGAGGAAAGTAACATTAGCATTTAATTTTACTAAGGTGGAGTAATGGATAGTGGTTCATATTAAGGAATCGGAGAGCCGAGTTTGAATGCCAGTCGAATCCAGTACATTCACTTATGTGCTAATACCCTTGGGAAAGGTATGAATCCTTTTCTTCTCCCTTCTCTATGGGTAAATAACAGGACGAACTGGGTTCTGTAGCCTTGGATGGCAACTGGTCTACTACAGTAAGAAATGGCAACCTACTGTGGGAAAAAATCTGCCTCGTCTGTGATGTATCAAAAGATACATGATTGCCTAAGTGTGTATCATGCATGGCACAAAACTGACTGACTGGTCATTGCTTGAACCTGGTTCCTTTCCTTTTGAGTTTCACAAAATTATATAAATATTTGCATCCATTATAGCTGCTTGTCAAATAAGTTTATTTTTAAAGTTATCAGTTTAAGGAAACTTTTCTTCTCCTTCAAATAATGCTATTTTGTTTTTGAATGAATAGATAATATGAAAATCTGATTGAATTCAAAATGGCTTCTCAGTTTTATTTTAAAGGAAAGTTTTGAGATTCAGATTATGAAGACCCACAGATGAAGTTGTAATGTTTTCATTATATAAATAATATTGTGTACGTAATATAAAAGAATGAAAATAACATCTGGAATCACCAATGTCATACACTATTCTCTTCTGCTATTTTTTTGCTGTTAATTATAGAAATTAACTCAAGCTTGAATCTCTTTGTCACACTGATTCCAAGAGACTTTCTATTTTTGATCATTACAGTTTTTAATCAAATAATATTAGTAATTAATTTTTTTTAATCATTTCACCCAAAGCAAAGTGGGAGCACCACTAGCATGCAGGGGGTTATAGAAAGTGAAAATGAGAGAAAAGACTGGGTATAGAGGGTGGTTGAAGAAAGAATGATTGAAGAAAGGATAAAAGATGAATGAGATTCAAGAAGACAGAAGATGATGATTGATATTGCATTTAAATTTTTGAAGATTGTAGTTTTCAGTGAAGCAAATAAACAGGAGGGAGTTCCATAAGCAAGAAGAGAAACTGTTGGGGTAGAAGTGATGGTTACATTTAACTATTTTGTCAGTAAAAGGGTGGGACCTATGCTGATCTAGTAGCACACTTAAATTCATGAAGTTGGAGCACAAGGGGTGAAAAATCTTGTCAGAAGAGTTGCCATGAAAATATTTGTAGTAAATAGCTTTGGTTTATTATTAATTCCATTGAAAGAATTTATAAAAAAATACAAAGATCTAACTTAAGGAAATCTTGTCTTCTATCTCTCTGTCATCTATTTTGGTGTCTGATTCTTTCTGAATACAATTATTGTCTTTGGAGTGATCTGGATCTGTTTCTTAAAAATTTTTCTGCAGGGTTTAAAACCTGCACATTTACTTGATGAGAGGGTGCTGAAAAGTTCAACAAAAACTGATAAAAAAAAATGCTGATATTTGGTCAGATTTGAGGTGGTGGGTCAAGCTGGTAACTTTTCAGGACCCCTTTGTAATAATGGAAACATATGCAGCAGGATTTTTCTTTACATCCAGTTCTGGTATACCAGTGACAAGACAACCCAAATAGATTAAATGGACGAGAGATATGTCGTGGAAGTATTTGAGTTCATGCCTCTTTAGTAG